GGTTCACCCATTTTCCTTGAGAATTCGGGTGGAGACGTCGGATGAGACAGTGGCAGGGATGAGGCAGCAGTAGAGAGTTCGAACGATGAGAAATAGCAGAGGTGAGGCACCTGAAACATGCTGCACATCCATCTCTTGCAGACGAACTTTCACCTTCTTCCGCGGCGAGGCCTTGGGTGCAAGGGGTTGGGTTTTGGCCAAAGCCTAGAAGAGGGCTAGACCTCAAACCCATTTGACACCTGCCTTCTTCTAGGACAGTTGGGCCATCATGTCAATGACATTCGCACAACCTCCACTCCAGGTCACTCCCCCTATCTTCCCCTGCATCCATGATCCGCCTGTTCTTCGGATCCATCCACCTCCATCCTCGATGGACACCGAAAGCGGAGCTTGGACCTGTGCGCCCTTTCACCCGGGGTTGGGGGCAGTCAAGGGAACGCGACTTAGGCGTTTTCAGAGCATTCAGCATGCTGGCGGGCGGTGATGGGGGGCTTCCCAGGTTCATGGACCCCGCCAGCTTCGGCGTGTGCTTCCAGGACTTGGACCTTGAAGGTGAGGTGGACTCGGTGGACTCCGGTGGACTTGAAATGGGTGTTGGCTGGTTGGTTGGTTGGTTTGGTTTGGGTTTGGGGTTGGGGTTGGGGTTGGTTGGTTGGTTGGGTGGGTGGTCGTGGAGCTACCTGGACCATCCAGAAGGTCCAACAAGGGTCTCCAAGATGAGCCAGTCCACTACTTGTTGATCTCCAGCCAGGATCCGCTATGGATGGTCCTGGTAGGGTAGAGAGGTTGAACAGCCCTTTTGGTTGCTCATGGTGTCTCTAAACCTCTCTTGGTATACTTCGAACATGCCGACCGTGGGGGAATTTGCAGAAGGTTAAAGCTTCCATGAAGTGAGAAAACGACAAGTAGGGATACGAGAACGGCTGGTTCTTTGTCATATCATCCTTTTTTTTTCTTGGAGGAACATGACATGATCTCCCCAGCTAGATATGACATGATGTTCACGTGAAGGGCATGTAAAGACACCGAAACACCGAAACCAAAGGAAACCAACATGTGGAGCCAGATGCTAGGCTAGCCTTTCCCTAGGCTTCCTGGCCCACCATTGATTTATCTGTAATGGTCTGAATCCCGAACAAAAACTTGTTTTACTAAGGATTTTTGACTACACAACCAGGTCCAACCATTGTTTTAGTGGTCTTGGAAGGCTAGGGCTTTACTTTGTCATGGTTCCCAAACCCAAGATCTCACCCGCCAAGGGGCCACTCCCGTGGGTGACTGCTTCACATGAACCCCGCCACTCGGTCGGCAGATGTGACGGTCATTGCCAAGCAGCCGATGCCCATGAATCAGGCGCGAACGCCGGTGTTCCCTCTCTGGCGAAGCGAACGCCGCCGGTGGAGCTTGTTGGACGGCTCTTTTTTGTGGAAGATGAGGAGCCATCCCGAACTGTGAGCCACTCTCCCCCATAAGCAATCGTCCAACCACCATTGTTTTATAACACCAAGTCAACCATGGATTTGAGACCACATGAAAGAAACAACACCAGGATTTACAACACCAGGTCAAGCAATTTAAACATAGACACAGGAAAGCCCGTTTTTTCCCCTCAGAACCTCGCGAGCTGGAGATTTGTTTGGGTCATTTTGCATCATTTTGCCGTTTTTTCTAGTCCTCAATGGCATTTCTACTAGGAACAAGAAGCTACTTGGTGGAGGGTCCAGGTCTACGAATCAGAGGAACCTTTCTGGCAGAGACCGCCGATCTCCCCTCTCTCCCGCCGATGCCGGGTGTTTCGGTGAGCTCACTGGTGAACGGCGGCCTTATGCTGGACCTCCGAAGTGATTTGAAGCTCCTTGGGCTGATGGGGCCCTGGAAGAATCCTGTAGCGCGACACCTATCCTTATTCATCCTTTTTTCTGTTCTTCTCAGCTCTTTGACATGTCTTTTCGATTCCTCGAGTCCAACACCCTTTCTTCTGACTCTGCATCTTCCCCACATCCCAGCTCTTCCGTCTCTTCCAGCTCTTCCGGCATCGAAGCTCCCCATCACCCCCGTCTCACCCCCGCCCCGAAGTTCCCTCCCCTTAAGAGACTTCCCATCACCAACGACCCTCCCCATCACACGCAGGCGGCCTGCGAGGAGCTGCTGCTGCGCCTGGCGCAGCATTTCGAGGCCCCACGCCTCGTCGCGCAGGCGGGGCGGTGGCACAGCGCCCCAGCGGCCGCGGGACAGCGCTGGGACTGAGCCGAGTGCGCCTGGAGAACGAAGGACTTTGGGGTCGCTGGATTTGGGGAGTTGGGACTGGAACGACATGAAGCCATCGATGGGCGGTTCCGGCCATCGGGGGTTCGGATCCTTGGAATGGAACTCTTCATGACGCGATCAGCCTATGGGGGCGGTTGGGCCTTCACTCGCACGACATGGAGGTGCTCCGGACTGGAAAACAGGTTCGGAGCGGTCGGAAGTGCTGAAGTCCTGAAGTCGGACCGGGAGCGAGAGCGTCGTTGGGCAAGTCCTGGGATGGCCCAGCATTTCACGGGGGGGGCCCAGCAATTCTGAAAGTACCTTGTCTCCAGTCTTGTCTCCATGTCTCCAAGTGAAAACGAGTGGCACGGAGTGCAAGGAGAATTCTGAGAAAAACTGCATTCAGAGTCTCGATCATTGAAATTGGTGGTGGGACAAGACGGTTTTCCTCTACCAACCAGTGGTTTTTCGTGGCCCAACCCTTGGACGTCCATGTCCGGGCGACTCCTGCGAGAGGCCGCCGCTGCCTGGTCGAGCGGCCCGGTCTTGGAGGTTCTGGGGATCTTAGATCGCCACTTCCGTGAGGACGGTTTCGGCTGACAAAGGCGGAGTATGCTGTGTAGGAAAAAAGAGCTGAGAAAACGCCAATGGTTAATGGTTCACACAGACGCCAATGGACATACAAACCGGAGGATGGTCCTGTTTGGGTGCCCAAAGGACTGTTACACATCCCTGCAGTACTACACTATGGATCTCCAGCCAGGACACCCACTTGGATGGTTCAGGAATGAGATCAAAATGAGGATAGCCGTTGTATGGTTGCCTTGCAAAGAAGGACAACAGCTGACGCAACAGAGCTGTCGTCGATTTCCCTGCTGCCCAAGTGTCTAGCTCGACTTCTCCAGTCGACAGTCGACAGTCAGACGTCACATCACTCTGAAGGAGTTGCGGCTGGAGAGGATCCCCTGGAAGAGTTCGCTGGAACGCGTTGAAGTCTTGTTGGCCTATCTGGGTGTCTTGAGGCCTCGTTGCCGATCCGCACGACCCGAAAAGGTCGAGTCTACTTGTCTAATCCGTGGGGGCCTGGGTCTCCGAAGGCGGGGACGATAGCGGGCCCTGCGGAGCTCGTGGGGCGACGACTTTCAGGTGCTGACTCCAGGATGAGGGGGGTCTTTTCGGCGTTTGCCGATGGTCTGTTCTTTGTTTTGGAGGTTCTGTAGTGGTGGATCGAGAGCTTCTGAATTCATAGGGTCCGCTGGGGTGGGCTGGGGATTCTTCTTACTGCGGCGGTCGCAGCTCTGCAGTAGGTTTACATGGCATTCGACCAGCTGAATCTGCAAGAAGCAAGGTAGATTGAACATGAAGCCAATGACATAGACTCGCATACTTGGGGCATACTTGGGGCAACAGGCCTTTGTTTTGGCCTTCACAAAGGACAAAACATGGAACTTCAGCTCCCAAAACGCTTCACGAACACAGGCGTACGCCGGCCATGCTGGAGCAACTACGGATGGAGCCCCACTGGGATACTTGCAGGGGCGTCTCAGGAAAGAAGTCGCGGCCAGATCATCCACAGAATGTAGAACATCCAGAACAAGCGAACCCTTCTTACAGCTTGTCCATCCTGTTCATTTCATTTCCTCAAACTTCAAACATGTTTGCTCACACTAAGTGTTCTGGAATCTGTCCACCTCACCACAATGACTGTACACTAGATCCATGACATTCCTTGAATGACTACGGCGGGTCACCACGACACGGCGGGTCGTCACCGTGATGGGAAAAGGGGGCCCCCGCGTGGGACCTGGCCGTGGGACCATGCCCGGTGGAAGTCACATGCAAATCGTCCATCCAGCATAAGCGTGATTGATCCGGGAGGAATCACATGTTCCATCATGGTTTTCATGAAACATTCTCGGGAATGGTGAGTGCAGATGCACTTCACAAATGGCCAGATGACCCGGGAGGGCACTCGGACCTTTGTAAACACCTTTGCGATTGCGGAGTGAGGCCCGATCTGCTTTGAGGAGCACCGGGCGGGAGGAGGCGAAAGATAGGCGAAAGGAGTGAATGAATGGAACCATTTATACCAGGACCATCCAAGGGGTGCCCTGTCTGGAAGCCTATAGGTAGTGTGGGGTAGTCCATTGGACACCCCTTGGATGGTCCTGGTATAGGACTTGATAGGGAATCACAGACTGATGGCCCCTGGCCCACCGAAGAAACTGATGGGATGGCGATCACGTGTTCAGTGGAGCACGTGGTCACAGGTCACACGTGGTCGCACGGTGTGACACGGTGTGGTGGGTTCACCTGCACTAGTTGTTTGAGGGTCGATTGGATCGATTGGTTTCCTTGGCTTTGTTGATCTCCTGCAGGTGTTGTGATGTTTTGCATGATGGTCATCAGATCAGTCCTCAATTCCACTGCGTAGTGCACAGTACACCATACCTGCCCTTCAATCATCGTCATTGATCATCTCAATGAACAAATGAACACCGACCGACACCAACACTTCTCAACTCGCTACTAGGAGCAAGAAGCTACTAGTATCTCCTGGCATTACTACTAGGAACAAGAAGCTCCTAGTAACAAGGATGCTATCAGCTGGAGGCCATCGCTACGAACGGAACAAGAAGCTACGAAACGTCACCAAGTGCATCGCGACCGCACGGAGCATCTCTCCTCAGGAGCAGCCGGACGTGCAGCGTTTAGAGCACTGGAGCCCCAAGGGCGATGTCTCCGAACATCAGATGTGCGGCGCGTGCCGGCAGCAATATGGCCAGCGCCTCGCCAGAAACGCGCCCTAAGAGGTGATTCCCGGAGTTCCAGCGAAGCACCCGTTACTTTTCGTTTGGGGATGTAACATGATAACTTCCTTTTAGCTAAATTTATATATAGGCTTTGAAATCCTATATATATATATATAGAGGAATGACGAGAGTGACGAGAGGAGTGCTCCACGTCCGAATTTGACGTGATGGTGGCTGGCTGGCTGGACGGACGGACGGATGGATGGATTTGGATGGACGGAAGGATGGATGAAAAAAGCTCAGGAGGCTTTATATTTATATGTTTTCTTCTGTCACCTGATGGAAAGAGATGGTGCCGGTCATTTGGATACGCCTTTGCCTCCGGTGGCGGAGGCCGCCCTGCTCCGCGGAGTGATTTTTCTTTGAAAAAACACGTGTGAACTCAACATGCCTCAGCTGGGAAGATTGGGGTGGATGAGCTCAGGACGAAATGCCCCTTCTGCAAGGAAGAGCTTTTGAAGGAGGAGAGCGGACGGAGAGCGAGTCGCCAGCAGCGAAGGCCATTTTTTCCAATGAACGCCCCCAGCGTCCCCCAAATCCCGCAGCCATCTGAGCCGCCGCCTGGCGCCCCAAGCGATGGACAGCCTGAGCGATCGGCTCGGCGCACGTGCGCAACCCTTTCCCCATGCGGCCTTCTCTGAGGCGTCGTGCCGCGCTGCGGCCGCCTGGGCTCCCGGGAGCAGCGACGTGTTCATCGTGACGGCGCCCAAGACGGGGACGACGTTCCTTCAAATGATCTGCCACTCTGTGAGAACTCAGGCCTGGATTTTGCTTAAGATAAGGTACATGGTACCGCGTGGTACTCTGATGATTTCTTTCCCCCATGCGTGATATCCTGTTGCTCATTAAGATGATGTTTCCCATGGGTCAATCCCCTGGCTTGGGGAAGATTTGTCTATTTTTTTCCTGGCTTCCTGGACAATCAAACATCCAAGTCAGGGCATGCACTTGGACTTTCAAGATATTTACCAAGTGGTGCCGTGGGATCAGTTGGCCTGGGACTTGGGACAAGACTTGGAGGCGGAACAAGTAGCACATCCCAGACTCTTCAAGTCTCATTTGCGACTTGCTTCAATCCATCGAGGGGCTAAATACCTGTGTATCGTGCGACGGCCAGAAGATGTTGTGCGAAGCTGGTGGCATTTTCTGCGCGAGAAGGATGTACCAGCATTGCGGGTCTATGAAACTGTCTCAGAATTTGTCTTTGATAAAGACTTTGTGGCCGAGAATATGCGTTTCGGCGCTTCACTCTGGGAGTACTACGTGGAATTCTACCGGTGTTTGGACCTTCCCCAGGTCTTAGTTCTTTGCTTCGAGGATCTGCAGAGCGACCTGGCCGCACATTTGGACCTCCTAAGCGATTTTCTGGGCTGCAGCCGCTTGAGCAGTGAAGCTCGAGATCGTGTCTTGCAACAGTGTAGCCGCGAAGGGATGGTGATCAACAGCAGCAAATTCGATGAGAGTCTCGGCAGTAGATCCCAACCCTCAGAAGTTTGAGAATTTTTGAGAATGTTTATACAATCAATTAACAATTCTATTTTGGTATTTTTAAATACATAAACATCAACATTCGGAATTCGGGTGATTTGTTGGAGAGGAGCTTCTTTCGCAGACTTCACCCATTAGAGACCCTCCTCATTGACCTTGTCCACCATTCTTCAGCACCTGCCCAGCAGATGGGCCCAGCAACTCCGATCCCTTGTGTCCTTCATTGTCTCCGGACCGAGTTGTTTTTCATCCTGAAAAGGAACAGCACTTCCTTTGCGGGACGGTAGGTATAAGTGTCCAACCCCCAACAAAAAACATTCGTTGGATTCCTGACCCCATACTTTCTCCCTTTTCCGATGTTCTCCCCTGGACCGCGCCGGACCGCGCCCCACCGCAGCCGCGAGGAGCTGGACCTACCTGGAGCTGCAGCGCCTGGGACGCGCGCCGGACGGCGCGGCCTCCTTCGCCCCGGCCCCTCGGGTGCGAGGAGCGCCCTCGGGGCCTTCCAGCGACGCCGCGTTCGCCGAAGCGTCCCAGGCGAGACAGGACCGACCGGGACCGATGGTGCGGATGGATCATGGTGGATTTTTTGTCGGTGGCGCCGGTGGGAAACATGGACACTGCCGTGAGCAAGGGATTCGTTCTTTTGTCTTTTTGCATTCTTTCAGATGTTTTAACCACCCGCACCGTGGTGCTATATACAATTGTATTAAAACATGTAGACATGTCATGACATGTCTATAGAATTCTTGACGTATTTGAAACGTATATATTGAAACGTCAGGTTCCTTTGTTTCATGGTTGTGCAACTGGGATTCCCTGGAAATATTCATGTATACATCATAGACAAAATCAATTAACATCAACCCTTCAGCGATCCTTTTGCTGCAAATAAATCCAAAAAGTGATGAAGGGACTTGGAATCGAACTCCTCCCATTCTGTTGATTCTGTTCTAATCTTCAACCCCCTGCGTCCAAGGCCTTCTTGCGGGAACGGTGGCAGACGATGGTGTCGAGGCTGGAGCCGCGGATTGAGAGCTACGAAGCCTTGGCGGAAGCCGTTCGAGAGGAAGTCCAGAAGCGGAGAGCCGAGAGCGGAAAACCGTCCCGTGTGGCGCTGGAGGGTCCGGGAGGATCGGGCGGTGGAGTCTGGAAGGATGAAGTGAGAAGCAACCGACTCCCAGACGCGACTAATGGGACTGCCATAGGACTGCCGATCAGGCCAAGGGTGGTTTTGGGGATCAATGGCATATATGGCATACATGGAGTGTCTGCGACTTGATTGAAAAAATGGCTTCTTTAGAATCATGAGTCCGTCCTTTTCGACCTCGAACAGGCGGCTGATCATTTTCTGGAACGTGGTTCCGGCCTCGCCTACTGGTGTCTTAGCATGTCTTAGCCAGGCGCAGCAGCAAACCTGTCCTGAACTCATTTCATATGCAGTGCCAGTTCAGCTAGCTACACATGCCATGCGGCTACGTCTTTCTTTTTTCCACAGAGGAGTCAACTGCAGGGTTTCCCGTGCAAGGAAGAACACCTACACATCTTCAACCGGTCTTCGCACAACGCCACGAGTCTTTCGTGCACCGGAAAAGCGTTGTTTCTTCTGAATGCCCCAGTGGTCGGAGGTTGCTTAGTCTTGAGAGAAGGATCTAGTTGACCGTGCCCCAAACTCGCACAGTTCCCGGACTGTTCCCTGAACCATTTCAGTACTTGCCAGAGCATGAACGAGCAACAGCCAACTCGGGTATGGCAAAGAAGTACAACTGGTTCTCCATTGATGTAACCGCTATCTTTGTTGCATGTACGCCATGCAAGAAGACCTTCGTCACACCTCGTCCGCTGTCCTCGATCTGCGTCCGCTGTCCTGCCCTCGATCGGTGTCCCTCATCCCTCCCTACAGAGGTTAAGTCACCGTAAATAGGACCCTACAGGAGTACCTATAGGATAGTCTATGGGGTTCTTCAACCTCTGCTGCTCATGACCCCCATCCGATCAGGAGCTCTTGGACTTCATCGATGCCTTCCTCGGGACCATCGGCACCGAGGCACCGACAGGTCGCGGACATGTCGCGACAGGTGACGACCAACTCGACCAGGAGAGTCGAAGGTGGTTCCCCCTGAGAGTCGAAGGTTTGACAAACATTTGACCTAGCCTTTTTTGGGTGGTGGTGGTGGCGGTGGATTATGACTGCCCCGGGCCCGAGGATGTGTAGCAGTGTAGCGGGTACCAAAAGGGTAAAATGGAGATCGGTTTGCGGTCGCAGCTGTTCAGCTCCGATGTTCGTATTTTTGGGGGGAAGTTTATGGAAAACACCAAAGATATTGTTTGGAGAGGGTCCGAAGTTGGACCAGAGCTTGGGAAGGGAACGGTGCAGGCAAGGGATGGGAAGGGCTTCGGCGCTGATTCTCCTTCTTCCAACATGAACACAAGCAAACTTTTGGTGATTTCAGGTCCTGATGGGAAGCGTTTTAGAGAAATTCATGGGAGCCAATCTGTTCGTTTTGAAAGTAGCGGGCTCAGGAAAGGTACATCAATAGTCAACCTGCGCCTTCACATCGGACCTGGCTGGTGATGTCCAGGCTTGTATGCCATTATGCTGAGGGTTTTGCTATGTTTTGCTGTCCTACTTGGGGCTTTCTCCCAAATCTGAGGCGTTCAGCGTTCAGCACACTGGATACTCACCTTGACTCTTGTGCATCCTTCCACCAAGTAGAGTCTGGAACATAGGCTTGTGTGCGGGGATGTCAATGGGAAAAACACATGAAACAACATGGTCCAGGAAAAGACTATATACAAATACTAAGTTTTCAGGGTCTCCGGTCTCCGCAACATATACTGTACCTTCTATGCTTTGTATACCGATACGTGGTTGTTTCCGGTGGCCGAAAACGAGCGCTACTGCAAACAGGACCCCACTCACCGGTGCAGTTCGGCGGATTTCTCATGCCAGGATGGCGCGTATGACGCCCATGAGATGTCCATGGTCATTGAGCAATGGCAATTCCACGAGATGGAATTTGAGGCTCCTTGCGCCGAAGCAGATCCTAGCGTTGGGTGGTTGATGGACACCCCCTTCCTCACCTCTGTTTAGGCCTAATACAGTAGACACCCCTTGGGGGGTGCTGGCAAAGAACAATCTTTTGCCTCCCAAACTTCCAAAAAAGTATTGAAGCGAAGGCCTGTAAACAGGTCTGGTCTAGACAGCATACAAAAAATGGTGCAAACACCGATTATCCCAATCAACATCACACCAATCACCACAAGGATCAAAAGGAAAGGAACATCATTCAGAGCCGGCAAGAACTACCTCAGAAAGCTTGCGCATTGCATAGTCATGAATTGCCACAGGGTGGGTTTGAATGGAGAGGGAGAAGAAGGTGCAGCGCGTTGGCTGCGGTGTTCGCAGGCGTCTCCTCGCGTGATGCGGCGCATGGCGCAGAGCCTCATGGAGGACCTGAGCCTCTCGGGTGGGGGGAAGGGCGAAGACTCATGACCGGGGCCCAAATGACCTCGAAATGACCTCGGGTTTAAGGATGGGGTTCGGGTCCGGACAGGGTCTTCAGCCTGGAAGGGTTGGATTCTGCAGGGTAGTCCGAACACCTGCGACTTAGTGCGAGAGCCCGGGATCTCCCAAAGGAGCTACTTGGTCTGAAGCTCGAACTTGGGATCGACCCTGCTTTTGCCGAGATATTTACACCAAGTTTGAGGTGTGTCTTCCACCTGCTCTAAGTGTTTAGTGCCGTTTGGTGGCATTGGCTGCAGTCTTTGAGGTCTAGATTGGGTTGGAATCGGAAGCGCCTCCAAGAGCCTCCCTTCCGTAAGATGTGCTTACAGAGTACACATCCTTTTGTTAGATGAACGTTTCACATCCAACTCTTTTCACCTGGGAACAATGTTGGGTGGTTCAAGATGTTTCAAGGACGACCCGAAACCATCTATATAACTATCAATTTAATGATCAATTGAAAGGTGGGTCTTAGGATGAACCCCCTTTTTGGGGTCTCCCCCGGTTGCTCCCCATGACTCCCCGATGTTTGGGTTCAGGTCTCAGAGCTGCTGTTTTGACCTCTTTTCACTTTAAACGCTCACTTGGGTCAGACCTTTGGCGCTAATAGGGGATTTTCGACCCGAAGTAAAACCCTTTCCACTAATTCAATTGGTTCAGGCCTGGATTCAATCCAAAACTGGAAACCCACTCTTCGCACGCCCCCCAGAACCACGCCTTCCAGCGTGACTTGCGTCACGCGCTGCAGAGTGGCGCGGGGCACCGCGGCGCAGTGCACCGCGGCAGTGCCTGGCTTTGGGACGCCGCCAGCGTCCTGGCCAACGCTTGCTCCGGATGGTCTTGGGCCGGTCTTTGGAATAGAGGGGGTGGGCATAAGTGGATGATGGAGGGTGGTTACTTTGCTCCGATTCCTGATATAGCAACCCGCAGTTGGGAGGTTTCGGAAGACAATCAATTGTGAACTGGTGGAGTATGTGAAGTGTGTTTGCATCATCCAGCGCACGAAAAAGCCGCGTGCTCAACCAAAATAGATCAACATAGTTGGACATTGGTGGGAGAAACCAGAGCAGACCAGGCTCTTTTTTTAAGAACGCTCTTCGGAATTTGTTCGATAGGATCCACTCAACATTGTCGGCTCAAACCTCTTTGTTTCTGAGTGCCAGCGGATTTGTACCGTGATGGGGCCGGTTGAGACCTCTTGTGGTTGCACCAGACAAGGAAGTTTGGGCTCTCGCTGGATTTCATCGAGCAGGGCCGCTGGTCCCTCCTTGGAAGTAAAAGTAATTATGTTCAAGTCACACATAAGATCACATAAGATACATTCCATTTTTGCAACTGTGAATGTTGCAATGAGGGGTTCTCCAGTCTTACTCCGGCAGTTTCTATCTCGCAGGGAGCGACTCCTGGCTCTCGAACCCGTCCCGATCTGTGCGTCTGTCGGGTCAAAACCCCCGCCCAGGCCTGCTCTTCCGGCTCTACGGCTTTCATGAGGCCCAAAAACGATGCCGTGTACACCACGCGTGGACTTATGCAGTGTGGCCCATCCCGTTCTCTTGACATGGGTAGCAGATCCGACTCAGGGTCATCAATAAACTACACCACTTAAGCTACTAGCTTGGTCAGATCATGTAGAAGGAGACCTAGTTCTACGGCTGCACCGACAACCTTCGTCCAGTTTCAACGCCGCCCAAGCTCCGCTTCAGGCGCAGCCTTTGCAGAATGGGCATTTGTTGGAGGCCGGTCCAAGTGGAGGATGATGAGTTGAGGAGTGGAGAGGTGGAGAGGTTGACCCCAGTGACGAAGATGCTCAAAACAATCTTTCTTTTTGAACGTCGGGCGATGGACATGCAACTTGCAGAACGATGCTAAACTCACATATTGTAATTCTGTGGGGAGAAGCTCATTCGAATCATCCCCCTCACAAAAAGGGCGGATCGACACCATAGCCCACCCCGAGACTCTCGCGTGTCACACGGGCCGTCGACCGATGCCGACGGTCGGCATCGGTCGGCGGCCCTGGAGGCGGCGGTGGCGCGGATGTTTGTGCCATCCAATGTTCAAATGTACAGTGTTTGACTCAGGTGGTTTCCACTGGAGGTCAGGATGAGCACATTGGATGGTCTGAATCGCAGAAGAGCTTAAGATCCAGCGGGCAGCGGGCTGGTCCGTCCGCATGACTCGAAACCATAGGCACCGTGCAGGAACATGCAATCTGCACCGGGTCTGAATCACCGTGGTCAGTTGATGATAGTTGCCCACTCCGTGGTCAATCAGCATCCAGGAAGCGGTGGAGATCCTTCTCTCTCCCGATGAGGCGGGTCTGTTCCGTGCCAAACGCTGAGTCTCTCCGATTCGTCCAGGAACGTGTGAGACTTGATCATCATAATCTAACATGTGTGCACCAAACTAATTGAGCCTTTGATCTTGAATTCACATCTGCACGCTTCACATCTCGAGTTTCGATCTGTCTTTCAACCACATGTCGCGTGGTCCGGAGATGCCCTTGAACCGGACTTCGGGGGGGGGGAAACGAATGCTGGGGACCGGTGAAGAAGCCACCTGCTTGGGGATGGCCTTCGGAAGACGATCGGAACCACCTCCATCTGGCCTCCCGCCCGGTTCGATCGATCGAAGCACAGGAGAGTGGACGCTTGGGTCTCCTATACGAGCAGGCGAGGGAGGGGGGGAAAAGCGTGAACGGCAGGAAGGCAGTGACCAGTGACCGGCAGTGACCGGCAGGAGGCGTTTCCCGTCACTGCCGGTTGATCTGGTGTCCCCTTCGGATCCCTGGCCTTTACGGAACGATCGTTGTTTCACTAAGGAGCAACTAACGCTGTAGCATCCGGGAAACCGACTCTTGGAATTCTCAAGTTTGGAAGTGGGGAAAGTCGGGTTCCCAAGAAGCGCACATATGTGGACCGGAGGACGCATCATGTCGACTAAATTGACATAACTTCACTGAATTTACATGACAATTAACTATTAAAACAATCTTTTCATTCAAGTACCACCTCAAACTATCTACCCTGGTCACGGGACTCCTGGAACCCCTCACGTCTCTAGTGTATTCCTCTTGGTTTTCCGTCTTCGCCCCAGGCGCTCCAAGCCTGGCTCCTGTCTGGTGAACGGCCGGAGCTCGCCTCCCTGGTGCGGCGCTGCGGCTGGGCGGTGGCCCCTTGGCCGGGTGCGTGCGGTGTGGCCGGTGTTCGCCTTGTTCCGAAAGCTGGGACTCCTTGGGATGAACTGGGTCGGGTTTGTAGTTGGCTTGGGCAGACTGGACGGGCCACGGAGGTGTTTGGGGGGGATTTTTATATCAGGATGGCGAGAGAGATGGAACCGCCGTTGGGACCGGTGGGTAATGGGAATTTGGATGCGCTGTTGAAGAAGTTGAGGTCATTTTGGAGACTCCAGTGTGGGAGGCGGGAAGGATTCTGGCTTAACCTACTGTTGAACCACTCGTCCTTTGGCCGGACAACTTGTGATGAACAACCATGAACAACCCCACATGTAACGATGCTGTTGATTGCGCAGGATTGTCATTTGGATGTTCCGTTCATTTGCTGGCCGCTTGTAGCCATATATGTGTGCTTTCTTGGTTGTTCAATCATCTCTGTTTTTCTTGAGCCCTTTTTGCTGATTTTGGCCCGTGGCGATTGGCGATTGCTCAAGATCGAGTAACTTACTCCTTATATAGTTACTAGTCCTCCTTTTCTCAGAAAGAATTGCGATGCTCGTCTCAGTCTTAGTGTTCCTTTGCTGGGATTCAATTGGTTTGCCGATGTGGGTAGTTGCTCTCGCCAAGACTTTGTCATTTTTGCTTCTTCTTCTTCTTCTTCTGCTTCTGCTTCTGCTTCTTGTCTAAGTCTAAGTCTTGCCTAAGCTGCATCTAAACACGCTTTCTTTCACAGTCAGGTGATTTCCTACCAGAGTGGTGATGAAGCCCAGCGAGCCTTGCTGTCGGAGCAGATCCTAAGCACCTTGGCGCTCGGTCACCCTGGGACCCTGGGACTGGGGTGGGAGCATCAGACCAACCAATACCACAGGTGGTCTGAGAAGGTGCTTGTCACCAGAAAAGACCAATTGTGGTCTTCGAGTCCAGGCGGTGGGATCTAAGGGATCTGCATATGAAATGAAGCGGCATTACCTGCTAAACAATGAACATGAATGAGCATGAGACATGAGACGGCTCCTGGAGTGACCACCATCCACGGCGTTTCTTCGTCCGCTTCGTTCCACTCTTCCCGAGACGCACTGACACCGATCAGGGCCCCGTTCGGTCCATCGGTCTGTCGAAGCGGTGAGGTGATGTGGCGATGTCCGAGCAAATCAGACGACGGCGGAGGTACTGGATGTGCCATGTGGTGGATGTACTTGAAACAAAAAGGGGCACCCCGTGTCAGACATGGAAAGAGAAAGAGGAATGAGGAATACGGTCGCATCAAGCAATCGGTCTCCCTTTTAGATGCTATACACAGCCATGTCTCCCCTGCCCTACCCTTGAAAGACCATTAAAAGAAAGGTTCTAGACTTAATAGAATTGCTTGTTGGTCCAAAAAAAAAGCACATAAAAAGACCACGACTCCTTGGACTTCCCCTTGGGGGGGTCTTTCTTCCCAATGTTGGACGCGGCCTGAGCTTCCTCCCGAGCGGCCTGAGGTACCGTGCATGCGGACTACTTCATGGTGTCTCACCGCGGCATCTGGGGCTCCAAGCGACAAGACATGGTGTGGCAAAGCTTTTGCACCGACGGCCCACGTGACCTCGTGTAGGGACACTGGCGCAGCGCGTTCCGTCCGTGACCGGTGCCGAAAAAAGAAGGGAGTCGAGTTGAGCAAAACTCCGTCGGATGAGGTGTCGGAGGAGTCCTCCGCTGTGGGGACGGCCCTGGTGACCTGGTGACCAGGTCACATCATGTGCACTTCATGCCACCCTACAGTGGCCCTACAGGTCAGGGACTGCATTTATATAATTGGTCCGGGAAAATGCCAAAACAGAGCTCCATGAGGTCGGTCGGACCAGATCATATCTTGGGCCTTGGACTGGTAGCCTTCACTAATCCTTGAAAACTCTGGGAGGCTCAACAGGCATTGGATCAATTCCCATGCTCCTATTTCTATCTGATTTCAGGCCACGTCCCAAACCTTCCTCTTGGGAGCGATCCTTGGGCCCCGCCGACCGTCGGCTCCAGCCACTCCTCTGCACGACGACAGCCGCCATGCCGCTCTGCCGCGCCGCTGCGGCCGCGACGCGGCGTTCTACGCGCCGCGCGGTGCAGTCGCTGGGGCGGCGCTTTTCCACTGCGATCTCCTCGAGCCCTGGGAGTCTCAGCGTGGCCTTAAGCCTCCAAGACTATGCCATCGAGAGGCCCGCTCTCCATTCGACTCGAACAAATCTGGTGGGGCGGTCGAACTGGGATGGGGTGTGGCAAAGACCGTGAAGCCCTGATGAGTGGAGCGAGGGTGGAGTATTGTGATGTTCTTGGGCTGAAAGAAAGGATCGAAGTCTGAAGATCGTTTGGCATAATTACTGAGTCGAGCTAAAGGACATTACTGGGGGGTCCAGAATTTGGAGATTCTTTATCTTTATTTAATTTGTTTTTCTGTTATTTCAGGCGTCGGAGATCAGAGTCTCAGGTCCTATTCAATCAGATTAAATTCTTTCTGCACTCATCAAGGGGCATGCGATGGCACAGATCGTTGGTGTATGTTGGTGTCAAGTGTAGGCCGCCTTGGTTAGACAGGCATCGATTATGACAATTATAGTTATCGCTGTGGCGACACTTTTCTTGCATGTTCTCGCTGTATGACCCTACTTTCTCATGTTTTGATGTTTACTGGATGTTTTTTAAATGATATTTTCTGTACCCAGTGTGAAAGCAAAAACGCCTGGCACCCCACTTCCTGGGCCTGGCACGCCGAAAGGGGCGTTCGCGTCGGTTCTTGGTTCGAGCGATGCTCGACTAGATGGGCCTCTTTTTTTTTTCACAGGGAGACCTCTTTTCTCGCCCCTGGCTAGGTAGGACTGGTCTACTTTCCGAACCTTACTGCCTGGGAGGTCTCCCCATTTGGATCGAACTGATCGTCGTCGAAGTTCGACGGAGAAAGCTCACATGGGACCGTGAGGGGTTCTGAGGTCCCGTGGTTTGTCAGGAGTCGAAAGTGAAGGTTCTTCTTTCCTCTAGTGAGACTCTAGTGGAGTCACTTCTCTACCTACCTCCACCGTCTTCTCTGATCTAGCATAGAACATTTTTTTGGTTGACTAGACAGAGGTCCGTTCTCTGCCACAGCGACCATTTATTATGCACAGGAACACGGTGCGACATGGCCATAGTCCACGAGCAGCTGGCAGTTGTTCAGTATGCTTTGGACCACCCCTGCAGACACGCCTGCAACCTAGACGCAGAAGAAGATAGACTGATCACCCTCCACGAAATCCTGCAAGATGGTCAAGCTGGCCAAATGCCATTGTGGGGGTCTGCAGGGTGTGTTGGAATTCTTTGTTCTTACTGGTTCTTGGCCAACCGCCATGAGTTGTCCTAGGCTTTTGTGTATGGAACTCACTACCGGTGACGGTGGTGTGAGTTTCACACACAGATCAGGTCAGTTATGCAAAAGAGGGGGGACCAGTGACCAGTGGTTTTGCTCCTGTGACTGGGGTTCTGGTTCTGGCACTTTGAGAAAAGCGCAGTAAGTGTTGTGAATTCCAATAGGGAGACCTCCCAGGCAGTTCGACCTTCTGGAAGGTTCGGAAAGTAGACCAGTCTACCCGGTCTACCCCATTGGGCCAGGACGTCTCCTTGCGCTGGCTCAAAGTGGGACTTGGTTCTCCCCTCTTTTTGGAACGCTCCTAAAACACTTGTTGGGACTCCTTCAACACCTCTCCCCCGTGGTGATTTGGTCTCCAGTTTTCAAACAAGCCCAGCACGTTTCTTGGCCTTGTGGATTCATCGTAGATTGGACACGCAGATGAGTCACATTGGGTCTTGCAGCACCACTGAGGAATGTGTCAGTCTTGTGGCACAAAGATGGTGACCCTTGACAGGTCAGTGAGAGCACAGACTTTCTTTTTGCAGCTGACCCTCTCTTCATTAAAGTCACATGCTAGTAGATACATGCTGGTGCCACAGGTGACTCCCATCAGAATGGTTTCAGGATGTCCCAGGCATCGCCGTGTCCTCGCCAGCGTTCCAGACGCAGAGCTCTTTTCGTGCAGCGGTCCCGACGGTGAGGTCTGTTCCAGCGCGGAAGAGGCGATGGAGCCCTATTTGCAGAGTGATGGCATGGTCTTCATACATGCTGGGGCGGCGACGCCCCAGCCTCTCATGCAGGTGACGGGGTTTTGGGCGTGAGGGGTGCGGATGACCTTTGGATGCTGAAGGATATTGATGGTGAAGCACCATGACTTCATTTGTCATTTGGCCATAGTTCAGTATGTTACAGTTACAGTGCTGTTTGGGGAGCAAAGGGAGGTGTAATTACTTTGGGATGACCTGCCCAGATAATTTGCCAGTGAGCAGGGTACCTTGGCAATTATTGCAGGAAAACACCGGTCTTGGCTTCGGAACACCATTTCATGGATGTTGACTCGTTTGAATTTCTCCTGTGGGATGTATTCTTTGGGTGGGCACCTTTGACATTTGGATTGGTTGGCAGCGGTGTTGAGGGCTTCTAAGAAGACACTGGCCGATGTCAGAGCTTCTCGGCGTCGAAAAAGCCGACATCAGGGGATGATCAACGTGGCCAAAGCGAAGAAGCTTCGGAGCCCTTGGTGAAGGGATGTGGATAGATCGCAGGTTCTGAACGTCGAAAGCACAAGAAAACGCCAAGAGAACATCATATGGTTGCTGAAAGCACCAAGTGTCCTTGTCATATTCCCAGAGATGGTAATTGATCATGGGCCTTTGGGCGGTCCGGTCCAGGTATTCTTTGGAGATGGTCCTCGAGAAACAGTTGATAAGATCCACCTGCAGGAGGATTGCAGGAGTTTGTCCAAGCCTGTCTATACGCACCGGGATTACATTCGGCGTAGGAGGGTGCCCCATATGCACCCCAAAAACATCAAACACCTTTCATGTTTGTTGCCTTTCCCGGATGTGTGCGCCAAAACGCACCGCTACTGTCCCCCACTGGATGCTTCGGATGCTTCAATTTAGTTTCGTTTCATGGCATGGCGGCATGACTGGCAGGCATATGATCGCACTGGCGCAGCTTAGGCAAAAGTGTTAGAAGCACAAGAGAGTGTTTTTGGTTGAAAAAGGGGACGTGATTTTGGATTGGTTTGAAAGAGAGCTCAATTGACACTGTGCTTCCAAAATGTAGTTCTGGCCAGTCTTGGCTTTCTTACATTATACATCGTTATACCTTCCTACAACTTTGCATTTTTAGAAACATATACTAACTTGGGGAAAACGACTTGCATTCTGTTGTTGACATTTGAGTTTTGTAGAAGCAGAGCTCGGGAGAGCTGTGAACATGAACATGGTCATGGTGGGGGTGGAATTTTGTGTTCCACCATTCCGACTGTAAACTGGCATGCCCGGCCCTGATGTTCTCGACAAAATGCATTAAACACCAATTACAGACAGATACTTTCTCCATACATGCTAAAGAAGTTGCACATGGTGTTCAAACACCAATCACAGACCTCCCGTTCTCTCCACCTGAACGACCGTATACAAGCACACAAAGGCTACACCCCAGGTCGCGGACAGGTGAAATAGCGACGCCAGGAGCCCCGATCGTAGCGCCCGATCGCTCCGTTCGTAAGGCCAGGAGCCCCGATCATAGCTTCTGGTTCCCAGGCCTTTTCGTTGGAAGGTTGTGCGCCCCTTCTCCCGTGCCTAGTAGCGTTGCATGCGAAGGTTTCAGGCGAGCCACCACGCCACGAGCCGAGCACGCGCTCGTGACTGGCACGAGCCACGAGCCGCGACCTCAGGAACCTCCAGACCATTCACATGCACCTGGAAGGTGCCGATGCTGCACGACCTTCCAAGCTCGGTAGGGCAGGTGTGTGGCCCGGCAGGTCTGTGCACCTGCGGGTCGGTCGACGGTGAGGATCTCTGTTGACCAGGGCGGACGGTGGATGGTGATTGTGTTTGAGCCCCTCATTGAAGCTTGTTTGTGTTGGATCCTCTGAAAGTGCCAGGTATTGCCACGTCCATCTCATCCAACGGGGTTAGAACGGTTAAAACAAGGATTCAATGCATTTGGGAAGAGCATTTCTTGCAGTTGTCCAATCAAAGATTGGTGAATCATGTCCTGCACGCATTTGCAAACTGGGTCATCCAGTGTTTCCGCCCAAAGCCACCCTTGGAGTGATGATTGATAGTTTCACGTTGTTTGTTTTTGTAGTACACTACCCTGGAATCATCATGGAAGTGGAAAACCACCGGTGCAGCTGGAGGAGCATGGAAATTCCAAGGGGTGAGTTTCCACTTCAAAGATATTCCAGGGAGTGTATTTGAGACCCCTAAGTTCTCCATGCTTCTCTGTGCTCTTGAAACAGGACATAACGGGACCCTCCAAAAGGCCTCCTTTAGAGTTGTTGAGTTCAGGTCTGAACTGGGGGCCTTTTTGGAGCTGGGTTGTGGACTATATACAGTATATATATATACTGTATATATATATATATAGATATTTCATCAGAACCAAGTATAGTTGCCTCTTTCTTTAGCTAGGTCTTCAGGTGGAAGTGTTGGCGACGCAGTCACCACGCAGGCCCAGGCCCCATCCCCTTGGATGACCCTGAAGCTGCGGAGTGCATCCGGCCG